AATAACAAAAAACAGATCAGTCCCTTTCACGTTAGGAGTTCAACAACTTCAATACTCCATTCCTGAAATATCACTATGAGCTTTTCCTGGTATCAGTAAACCAGGCGGAACATATGCTAGATCTAATCTTATGCAATGGAAGTCTCCACCTTGTTAATTAATCAGTTTGAGAAAAGTTCCTCTTCCAAATAGGGAGGTTGGGTGCTCCTTCCTGTTTTGTGGCTGTGCATGTTCACTATTAAATTTTGAATGAAATGGATTGATAGACTTTTCTCCTTAAACTAAGACATTATGAAATTCTTAGTTCAAAACAACTGAAGGCATCAGATTCTTTACCTTCACATTATATCATGTAACAATGGCTGCTGGGAAGCATTGACTTGAAACTCTAATTCTATCTTTCACAATATACCACAGAAAATACATAAATTATAATATTCTTATTATTTGATGACTTAATCTGCAGGTAGTCCTTGACTTACTATGGAAACTGGGATTGGAATTTCCATTGCTAAGTAATGTAGTTGTAAAGCATGATATAACATGACTGCATCACTTAGTGATGGTAATCACAGGACTCTTAGTTGCCATTGTTAACCAAATCCCACCTGCCATTAGGCAAAGACCCACCTCAAACATCAGTTTTTCCATTGCCTCCCCTTCAACTCCGCCCAACCACCTATTCTCCCCCAACCTCTGCCCTTTTTGATGCCCTTCACCCTGCCTTGTGGAGCAACTCCAGAACTGTGCGGTTGTTTGTAGTTCAAAGGCTTCCTGGAATGCCACAGCTCTGGGATTGCAAGATGCCCCTGAGACACAATCCAGCATGATGCCAGAGGTTTTTTTTGTTTTTGTTTTTAATTTGATTTATATGCCGCCCTTCTCCGGAGACTCAGGGCGGCTTACAATGTGCTAAGCAATAGCCTTCATCCTTTTGTATATTTATACAAAGTCAGCTTATTGCCCCCACAACTGGGTCCTCAATTTACCTACCTTAGAAAGGATGGAAGGATGAGTCAACCTTGAGCCTGGCGAGATTCGAACCTGCAGTAATTGCAGGCAGCTGGTCTTAATAACAGGGTGCTTTAGACCACTGTACTACCAAGGCACTGTACTACCAGAGTTGCCCCACCTCAGCCCAATAGCACTGCATGAAGCCACAGCGCAGCAATGTAATGCCATGGCTTCCCCAGCCCAGCAGAATGAAGAAAAGCTGTAGCCACTCCACTCCAGCCCAACAGTGCAAAACCCCAGTCACCCCTGCCCAACAGTGCAAAGCCCCAGCCTTTCCAGGAAGCCCTAGCCATCTCAGCTCAGCAGTGCGGTACAAAGATGCAGCCAGACCAACAATTCTCACTACCCCTCACTCCATAGCCATGCTACCCTGTGCTGCCCTGCCTCAGTTGACCTTGGTCATGTTCTTGATTTTTCTGCTGACAAGGCATGCCTACCCTGGCTCTTTTTGAGGGAGCTGTTGCCCATGTGATGCCTTTTTTCAGAGGTCTCACGATGAAACCGCCAAATGCACATTTGAGGGAAAGTCCTCCTGTGGCCATCAGTTGCCTTGCAAAGGGCCAGGACGACCAACCTGGTCAACAGTAGTAGCAAAAACATGGCTAGGATGGTGGGACAGGAGGTTCAAAAAGATAGAGATGGGGCACAGAGGGTGGGAGGAGTTGGAAGCATACCCACAGTTTTAAGTGTGGGCAGGGTGCCAAGCACCAAAATGTTGATTGAATGATCGCATGGATGCTGCAACAGTCATAAGGTGCTGCTATACCTTTGAACAATCATTGAAGGAATTGCCATAACTCAAGAAGTACCAGTTTTTAAATTTGAATTAGATCTGTTACAATTAAAGTATATGATATCACTTCTGATATCTGACTGACCTTAAGTAATTGAACTAAAATTTTAAAGCAGTAAGGCAGCCTCACATTGTTCTAACATAATTTATATTACCACAGGCATTCTGTACCATAAGAGATTTTATTCCATCCTACAACAAATTCTGTCAAGCAAGCAAAATCTTTATGAATGCTGACAATTCTTTAAGACTGTGCTTATTATAATAATGACAATGTTGAAATGACTTTTAGTGCTATTACTTGTAGCTATTATATTGTGCTATTACTAGTCTGGTAAACCACATATAATACAACAGTCTTCACATGCAAAATGAATCTGGAAGAGGAAAAAATCCTTAAAGAAGTGAAAACTATTCAACCAAACCAATATTTGGTTAAATAAAAGATTATTATATAGTAAAGTAAGACCTTATCGGTTGCTTGTAAAATATGTCTACATCAAAATCAAATCTGGAGGCTATAACAAATTAAAGAAAGCAAGATGACAAAAGCTACATCTTGCTGTTATAAGAAGTTTGGACTGGAAGCAGGCTTGTCTTGTAATATTAATGGTAAGAATGGACTTAATCCTAACCCACTGATTACATCTGCTTGGGAAAGTATGGCTTGGACAAGGTGCATTCCAGTAGTAATATGTTCTGCTAGGTCAAAAAATTTTGCCAAGAGCCTAGCAAAAACAACTGATTACGAGACAGTACCACCAGCATTACAGCAAGCAGGGCACTAATATTTTAGACCTTCAGCTGTATCAGTTGACAAAAAATTAAAATTGCCATTAAAATTAAGGTACCATAATTTTTTTTACAATTGCAACTAATCAGCAACAAATTTGGGGCTGGGGGCAACTCATGTTTTCACCATATTATATCACTGAAACTCACAGAATTGTTCAGCCCTCTTGCATGCAAACTAACATTAAATGGCACGGGTGATTAATATAGTATCTAGAAGAGATTGATCTAGTATTCCATTTACAACAACCCCAACTCACTAGAACTGAAAATTCTATTTCTAGTTTTTAAATGTTTAGGCCTGATAGCTGACAAAGAAAAGAAACAAGTTATTTCATTTGTGGAATTTGATCCAATTTACCTCGCATAAAAAAGTTTTATATTACTTAATACTTTTTATAAGTTAAAAAAGTTTATCTTTGATCTAAGACATACATGATCACCAAAGTCCACAAAAAATGGGATTCTTTCTTAAATAACAGATCTGGTGGTCCTCCTGATCTCATAACTTCCGCTTTAACAGCACATGGAGCTTGCGATCAGGAAGGTCTTCATACAATTACATCTGGTGTAGAGTGTCAATAATTTTGACCAATTCATAGAGAGCAGGCAATGACCAGGATTATGTATGCTCTTTCATCCTGTGGCTGGACTTCTAAACTTCAAGCTACATGGGTCTGCCCTTGATCACATATGGAAGTGATCCAGCATACCCAGATTTGTCCATGTGACCCTACATTACTATTATGGCTGCCAGTATACTTCCAGGTGTGATTCATGTGCTGATTGTCACATAAACCTACATGTCTCAGAACCCTACTACCTTTGCTCTAGGCTGAATTTGCTTGTCCAATAATAGCTGAGTTGAGTCTGCCTGTTTAATTAGAATGGAGAAAGAAGGCCTGTTAGGGTTCCTTCTCTCAGGGATACCACCTTGGAGACCCTGTAATGAAGCCTTTTCAGTGGTGGTCCCTCTTCCATGAAATAACTTTTCCCTGGGTATCTTGATCAGGCGTCTGAAAATAGCATTCAAGGACAATGAGGATTGACCTAGCCCCCCTCCCCCCCCTTTCTGAAGTTACAGGATATTTGCTGTTGAAATTATTATAATTTTGTTTTTAATGTTGTTGTTGTCTGATGTAAACTGCTCAAAGCAACTTGGAACTGAGCTGCATGCAAGCTGTTGTAAATAAATAAAAGAAATCTGCCAAAAGAATTGTTCTGATTTATGAAGCATACCTCTCTAAGTGCTGTTGTATAAACTATTTGATTATGCTTTTCAGCAGCATTCATTTTGCAAAATTCAGCATTTGCCCTCCTAAGAATTTTGTAAGATCAATAGCTATTATTTGCCCCTTTTCTCTTAAAATGCAAAATTGAAAGTAAAACTGCATAACATTAAACAAGTCAGGACACATACTTTCAAAGAGTTGTATCTTCTACCTACATTGCAACATTTTATTTTTTTTCAGAACTACCTCACATCTCTTTGCTTTTAACTCAATACGTGGTAGCACTATTTCTCACAATCATCACTATTGATCGTGACACATATCTAAATTTAACATGAGAATATGTTATTATTGACCAAGTCTAAAATGTCAATTACGTTGTTTATTTTGAAATATACCTTTAAGGTTAATAACCTCTTTACATTCACACACTTAACTGAAATGCCCAGTCATCTCATTAGAACACAGTAAAAACCAGGTATACACAATCCCCAATTTTGGTTCATTGATAAAAGCATAATTATGTTTGCTACAATTACAATATAACATACTGTAAGCAGCCTACGTTTTACGTTTTGTAAACACAGGTCACCGAAATCAGGTAAACTGGTGCAGAGGATTAAACAGATAATCCCTTAACGTCACCCATGCCTTCGTCTCCATCTCTTTTTGGGGTGTTTTGAATTAAGAATGAAGGGACACGCCTCCTGTTTCTGGAAGATAAAAAAAACTGGGGTCCCTTGAGTGTGCGTGATTTACATTTACAAGACAGGACTGTAAATATGAGTGTGACCCGAGTCGTTGTGTGTGTGTGTGTGTGTGTGTGTGTGTGTGTGTGTGTATGTACACAGACACACACATGCAACGACCCGGTTACACTCATATTTACAGCGCTCTCTTATATATGTATATGTATATATGAATGACTCTTGGGTTTTTCTTAGGCCGCGAAACTCCCTGAGGTGTCCAGCCGGCTTCGACATTCCTGCAGCTCCGGCAATAAGGCCGGGACGGACCCAGCGGGAGAATAACTGTCAAGGCGAAGGTCCCACGCCGGCAGAGACAGGGGGTTCATATCTAGGACCGACCGGGCGAGGAGGAGACGGGAGCCCCCCTCCTCCTCCTCCTCCTCCTCCTCTCCCAACTCTCTTGACAGGCCCGAGCCAGGCGGGCGCCATGCTAGAAACCAAAATGGCTGCCCCGGGGAAAGCAGCCCAACCCGAAGAGCACCGAGGGGGACGTGCCGAGTGACGCCCGCCGCGCCGCGCCACGCCTCGCCGGACCCGCCACACACAGGTACCTTCTCCTCCGCGCCCACCTTTTCCCCGCATCATCGGCAAAGTCCCCGCCGCCAGCCTTAAAGCCGGACCGGGCTCAACTCAGCCCGTCTCTCTGTCTCTCTCTCTCATTGTGTCCCTCTTCGCCCGCCCGGAACCCGGCTTCTTCTTACCTGAAGCTCGGCTCTTTCCACCTCCCAGTGAGCGCGCTCCATCTCGAAGCGGGCCCACTCGTGCTGGATGTAGTGCAGGATTCCCGGGATAGTGTAATGCTGGGGCCGGGAGAGCTCCGATCCGCTCCCGGGCCCCGCCGCTTCCTGAACCGCCGTTGGACCTTGAGGCTGCTGCTGGGACGGGAGACTCCCGCCGCCGCCACCGCTGTTAGATCCCGCGCAGCCCTGGTTGAGCAGCTGGGAATTAACGTTGCCTCCGATGGGCGGCAGTGGCTGCTGTTGAGGTCGCGGGGTAGCCCCCGCCATGATCCCCCCTCCGGCGCCGGGATGTTCGTCCATTGTCTGTGAGGAGTCCTCCCCTCTTCCTCTTCCCGCCTAGTGTGTCCGGCCGAGTCCTCAGCGGTGCTCTCGGGGAGGGGGGAGTGCCCGGCCCAGGGAGGAAGTCCCAGCGGCGTAGAGGAGCACCCGGGTGTCAGAGTCCAGCTACACCCGAGCCGCCTCTATCGCGGTTGCCGCCGGCCGCCATTACAGCCTCCGCTCCATCATCCACCGGCCAGATTCACTCACCCACCCAAGGGGAGGGGGGGGTACGCCGAGCATGCTGGGTAACAGCAACCGCCTTGCTCTGCCCCCCCCCCGTTCGCCGCCGCCGCCGCCGCCTTACTCTGCGCATGCGCTCGCGTCTGAAAAAAAAAAAAAATCCTGGGCTGGGAGACGGAAGAGGCTTCCTGCGCTTTTGATGGCTTCTGATTTATATTCTGCGTTTCATTCTTTCACTCGCTTGGCTTTTCTCGGATAGCGACATATTCAGAAGGAAAACCAGAAGGGCTTTCGCTCTCTGAACGCCGCGCGCCTTATTCTCTAGCTGCTGCTTGGTTTTTATTTGTACAATGACTCTTTGAGGCAGGGCATAGAAATCGCTTTTAAATACGTAGAGGATTACAGTTAAAAGAGATGCGCCGGGTTTTTTTTTTCCCCTCTTAAATCTTAGACTTAAGTAATACTGATATATTACTTTAATTTGATTTAGAACCCTTTCAAGAATCTTGGTTCAATAGTTATCTCCCATACAGTACAGGTAGTGCTCAACCTACGACCACAATTGAGCCCAAAATTTATATTGTTGGAGTGAGAAGTTTGTTAAGTGAGTTTTGCCACATTTGTTAAGTGAATCACTGAAGTTGTTTAATTGGTAACAAGCTTATTAAGTGAATCTGGCTTCCCATTATCTTTGCTTGTCAGAAGGTTGCAAAAGGTGATCACATGACTCCAGGACACTCCAACCGTTGTAAATATGAACCAGGAGTCGATATCCAAATGTAAATCATGTGATCGTAGGGGTGCTGCAGCAGTCATAAGTGTAAAAAATTGTCATAAGTCACTTCTTTCAGTACCGTTGTAACTTTGAATGGTCACTAAATGAACTGTTGTAAGTCAAGAACTACTTCTATTGTAATTGGCTGCATTAAGGGACATTGGTGTGTCAAAGGTCCCATAATGTTGGCAGGGAATGTTGCAGGTCCAATCCCTGAGGGAGATATATCTGGTGGGACCCAGAAGAAGGGCCTTCCCCGTGGTGGCTCCCTCTCTCTGGAACATCATTCCCCCAGAGATTAGAATGGCCCCCACTCTAATACTCTTCCGGAAGGCGCTGAAAACTTGGTTCTCCCAGCGGGCCTGGGGAACCCAGAGCAGGATAGAGGCCATTAAATGGCTCATGTGATCTGCTGTCGCCAGGGCCGGGGTGGAAGGTGCGGGGGGGGGGTGATTATGTTATATTGTACTATATTAATTTATTTGATTCTTTTTGTTTATTTTATTGTTTTAAATGTGGTCTTATATTCTGTAAGCCACCTTGAGTTGACATGGGAAAATAGGTGGCAATGTAAATTCAATAAATAAAATAAATAATAAATTCATGGCAGAGGGGAAATCTGAATTAATTTTTTTGTCATTTAGATTCATTGTCATATTCTTCTAAAGTTCTGTTAAACTGTGGTATAAAGTTGTTCAGTCCTGGTGAATTTAAACTTCTGGAAATTCAGGGCTTAGTGAATTCAGTAAATGACTGGAATGTTAATAGATATAAATTTAATTAAACTTTAGTCGTCAAGGTGTTGGATTAAGACTGAAGATACTTGTGATGGTCCCTCTCAGCTCTGGAAGTCATGGGAGTGAATCATTCACTTCTCAGCACATTTATGTGTTTATTTAGATAATTTATATGGTGGCCTATTTTACACTGGTAGTTGTGGGTGGCACATTTTAAAAAAATAAAATCAATATAAACTGAAACAAAATTCAATTAAAAATAATGATAATGATAATAATACAATAATCAAGAGACCTCACAATGGCAGGAGAAGCCAAGAAGAAAAGCATTTCTGGTTCAGGTATCTAATTCTGTCTATATGTAATTCTTCTTTATCTCACTCTTCCACAAAACGGGAACATAGAAGGGAAGGGAACTTACACTGGTGTTTTATAAGCACTGCATAGGAGTCCTTTGTTTGCTTCATTGTACAGTACCTCACTTTAGAAGGCAAATACTGATTTCTCAGTCTCCCACTGTTGCTGCTCATTCAATTCACTTGCTTTGAGTCACTGATGATGGACTGGGCCAGCAACAGATTCTTAGCATTGCAGTTTCATTCCTCATATTTCTACAGCTGACCAGCTTGGGTGGATGGGGAGGCTTCCTCACTCATCACACGCACAGCACATATACCCTGCTCTAGGATATAAGCATGCTTTGATTTTGACGCTGCAGTTGTTATTATTATACTGCCATCCAAAGTAGAAGGACAGCAGATAGAAATTGGAGAATGATCTTAGTATCAAATTACTGTGATGAATATGAAATTATATTAAGAGATTATAACTTCTCTCTGGATAAATAGGTAAGAGGAGAGGTTTCTAGGCAATCTCTGGAGATCAGCTATGGAAAATCCATCATAATATATAAAATAAAATTAGTTAAAGCTGTGGTGAACAGCTTCTTTTTCTTTTGATAGTCTATTCAGTCATCTTTGAAACCCATATATACACTATAAACTACATGCAGGAACATTTTACAACTTCTGGCTGACTGCGACTGATAATAATAGATCTTTATCACTTTTTGCTGTTGTAGCTTCTTCTCATAGCCCTTAGGTAAAATCAAGCTTTCTCTGCCCCAAAGTCAAAATCAGGACTTCCATTTCCAAAGTTTGCCTTTTCCCTTATTTATCTGAGCATGAATGCATCATCGATGCTACTAAGTAAAAGCAAGCTATCCCAAAATAAAAAAAATAATTTCTGCAACACTTTCCTAGATTTTTAAAAAAATAATTCTTAAAATTTTAAAAATCAAATCAAATAGAAAAAAGCTCAGAAATTATCAAAAACACTGGAATGCAGCAGCTTGTTAACAGTGTTGTCTTGGTTCTCAGATAAAGACGTCTATTCCCTTGTTAAATCAATATTGAGCTAACACTTCTGAAAATCATACCCTCTAGTTTTATTTTGCAGATTACAATTTATGTTCTTTCTACAATCCAAAAATGAGATACTTTTAAACTTTAAGTTGTTGTACATAAGACTTTCTCATTTCCTTCCCCAAATTTGCCTCTCAACTAATTCCTCAAGGCAAGGTCCCTTCGTCCTTCAATACATTTTGAAAAAAGAGAGTTCTTCCATTCCCATGAGGGAATCTGGACACAAGTTTGGGGGAAATGCAGGATTCAACTACTATATTGGTGGCTGGGTGATAATCTATCCTTTTGGTTTCGTAGTGTTCTCTGTCTCTTCTTGGAACTCTTTAAAGAGGGTTAATGTTCCATACTATTGTTACTTCTATAGATTAATAATAATTCTTAAAGCATTCTTTTGTGGTCTTGATTCCTTTTTATTCCTAAATGTCTTGTTCTTTAATGGAAACAGCACATAAATTAAATTAAATTAAATTAAATTAAATTAAATTAAATTAAATTAAATTAAATTAAATTAAAATGAAAAAGCATGCCCTCATTAAATCATTCACAAAAAAGTAAACAAACATTGTTTTTAAAATACTTTGCTGTTAATTTATATTTTACTTTCTTTGTTTACAAATGTACAAATTGATTGGAAACAATGTACAAAAATATCCCTTTTGTATATAGTAAGCCATGCAGTAATAGTAACAGACTTTTTTTTTCTTTTTATAACCCTGTAATCCCTTGCTTCTGGGTGTGGTCTGGGCGGCTGAATGGAGCTGAGCGTTTACTGGCCGGATACCCTTCCTGACACCTACATGGAATTCACAGGAGATATTTTCTCTTTGCTCCCTGATAGAGAAGTATCTCTCACTGCCTAGGATTGAACTCTCAACCTCTCTCGCCTCCCCCCTGTTGATCTTTAAGGTCAGCCCCATGTGAAGTAAATGACAATAAGTAATTCAGGTCTATTCATCAACCTCCAAGCTTTTCCCTGGTTGCTTTAATTAGATAGGAGGGACAGGGGTCAAGAGTACATGTGGTAGAGGTACAGCTACAAAGAACTCTGTCGACATCCTTAAGAACCACTGTAGGCCTCATTGTATCCTGTCTATCCCACATCCAATTCATTCCACAGATACAGTAAGGAAAAAAGGAATTCTTCTCCATCATCCTTATCATCCGAAGTATATTTGAACCTGAAGTTATTCCTGTGTCTGGTCATATTTGCTTTTTTTCTTTTGCCCATTGTCATTCTAGAAATCTCTTCACCCACTTAATTTCCCTGAATATGTTGGGTATATCACGGTGAGATAGGTGGCAAACAAATTTAATAATAATAATAATAATAATAATAATAATAATAATAATAAGAAGAAGAAGAAGAAGAA